GAAACGAACATATTTGGGTCGGAATAAGCTAAAACAAAAGGGGGCAGTGCGGTGGCGGCGGTTGATGGCAGTGGGGGTGCTTGTCCGGCGACGGTGGGGTTTTTTTTTGGGTAAAACTAGAGGAAAAATGTAGATTTCGTGGAGATCTACACGTTTATATGAAGTTTGTGTGGTGGGGTGGTCGGATTTGCTGTGAAATCGAAGAGGGAAGTAAGAGGCAGCTATCTAGGGTTTTGATTTCACGGAATTTAGAGGGGTTTTGGAGGATTTGGGGCTCGGATTAGGAGAAAGGGTAAAGAGAGGAAGAGATTGGTGTAGGTTTTACGGGCTTTGGACGTTGGCCGCCGCCGGTGGCGAATTCTGGCGGGCGGCGCTGGGGGCATGGGTCAGAGAGTGAGAGAGGGTGAGAAGAGAGAGGAAGAAGAGGGGGATTAAGGGGAAATGGGGCCAAATTTTTGGGGAATTATAGGTTTAAATACCTGGGTAGGAGATGGATAAGGGCCGTTGGATCAAGGCAATTGAACGGATGAGATTAGACCTTAGACTTACTTATCAAAATGACGTAGTTTAGGTATGAAACTACGCCGTTTTGTGCTCTAATGGCAGCCCTATTTGGACCGGATCTGGGCTCTTTGGGCTTCTAATTTTGGGCCAATTTTGGCTCAATTTTAATTAAAATACACTAGTCCAATCCCTACCCCATTAATCAACTCTTAAAACTTATACATACAAAAATAAGAAAAACACACACACACACACACACACACACACACACACACACATATATATATATATATATATATATAGAAGAAAAAGATGGGGCAAAAATTAGGCATTTACAGATTCGAGGCGTGATTTGTAATTTCGACGTTGTTGACGTGGTTTGAGGCCTCGACTAAGTTTGTATCATGATTTGGGACGTATTTGTATATTTGGTGGAGGTCCCGAGGGCCTCGGGAGGATTCCGGGTGGTTAACGGATCGGATTTTAGACTCAAGAAAATGCTGGAAATTTTGTTTGCTAGTGCAATCGCTTCTGCGAAGCCTTGGTCGCAGAAGCGACTTCCTAGTAGTGAGACGATGGTCGCAGAAGCGACTTGGATGAGCTAGGCGTGTGGTCGCAAAAGCGGAGAAGAGCAATGCACCTGTGTGTGTGCAAAAACGAAGCCACTGCCGCAGGTGCAGGAAAATGCGTAGATGCGCGATGAAGTGTCGCACCTGTGATTGTGCAGGAGCGAAAGAATTTCCGCAGGTACGATGGGCTGCTGCCAGTGGGCGTCCGCAGGAGCGGGATTTGTCTCGCAAAATCGAGACTGCAAGTGCGAAAAATTTATTTGTAGAAGCGAAACTGGGCAGAAACATAAGGGATCGAACTTGGTCATTTCTTCGTTTCGTTGTGAATTTTTGGAGCACGGTTTTGGGCGATTCTGGAGGAATTTTCACAATTTCTTCTTGGGTGGTTTTCTATATCCGAAAGTGATTATATTTCATAATTTCATGGTTATATTCATCATTCATTTCAAATTTAATGGAAGGAATTGAGAAAAATTATGAAAGCTTTCAAAAATGTAAAATAGAAATTTGGAGGAGGATTCGTTATCTGAATTTGATACTTTTGGTATGGTTGGACTTGTCTTTGAATGAGGGTTCGGATTTCATAACTTTTGTAAATTCTTGACATGGGCCCCGCGTTTACTTTCCGAGTTGACTTTCTAATTTCTTTATAAATATCGTAAATTTTATTGTTCGAATTAGTTTCCTATGGTTATAATTATAGCATGAAAATATTTTGGCTAGATTCGAGCCATTCGAAGTTGCATAATCGAGGAAAAAACCTACTATATTGGATTGAGATAGCACGATTTGAGGTAAGTGACTTGTCTAAACTTGTGTGTGAGAAATTACCCTTAGGATTTGGTATTGTTATGTGTGTTGTGATGTGTGAAAGTCGTGTACATAAGGTGACGAGTGTCTATACGGGCTAAATGTGGAAAATTATGGCCTTAATTGTGTAGATTCATGTCACGTATTAATTGAGTTATATTACCATATTATATTCATCATCGTTAATCTATTTCCACGTGTCCTAATTGCTTTACCTTTTTCCTGCTAATCGATTTACCTGTTTAGTTGAAGTTTTGTTCCCTTGTATTCCGTGCTCGTTATTTGAAAGTTGAATTCCTTAATTGAGTTGTTAAATTGAGAAATATTGATTGTTGAAATTGGTATTAAGATATAAAGGCCGTAATTCGTATTGAAACAAAAGTGTTTAATTGTGAAATATTATTCTGTTGTGTCGTTCACTCCTGAATATTTTGTTGAGACTTTTGTGTACATTGCGATTGGGCTGTGGGCTCCTTATTGTGGAAAATAATATTATTGTTGATTTCTTGACAAGTTGAAATATTTGGGCACTTGAGGTGATGATATTGATACGCATGCGGTGGTACAAGGTCAAGGTGTTGAAACGCATACGGTGAGATAAGGTAGGTTTGATACGCGTGGCTAATAAGGGAACTACTAGAAGTCATGCAGTGTGATATTTGGGACTACGAGGCGGTGCCTCGGGAGTGCCCTTGTTGATATTTATCTATTGGTGCACTTGAGTTTTGGTTGTTTTGTTCTGGTTCATAACATTCTTGTTTTCTTCTATGAAGTATTATTTGCCCTTATTCTGTGTAGCTAAATTGTGGCATACTACTTACATGTTTTAATTCATTGATATTATTAATATAATATTGTTAAATCTTTCATCCTGTTTCTTATTATTTCCAGACCCGACCTCGTCATTACTCTACCGAGGTTAGGCTTGGTACTTACTGGGTACCGTTGTAGTATACTCATTCTACGCTTTTGCACATCTTTTTGTGCAGATCCAGGTACTTCCTACCAGACCAGGCATCAGCGAGCTAATCCATACGTGGAGACTTCAAGATATACCTGCCGACGTCCGCAGGCCTCGGAGTCCCCCTGTATCTATATTATATTATTTCCTCATCCTTATTCGACTCTTATGTATAGAGATATTCAGTATTACTTCTTCAAGCTTGTGAGCTGGGTTTTGTGAAATTTCTATATGTACTGAGTTGTTGAGTTTTAAGAGTATTTACTGTTATTTTAGTTACTTCGCATGCTGACAGGCTTACCTAGTCTTAGAGACTAGGTGCCGTCATTTTCACTGCCCAATAACCAACTTGGTCCCAAGGTAAGGAATAACCAGTTACGCCAAAAGATGCAGTTAATACAGCCAGAACCACAACTGTAACCCAAGTCAATTCGCGAGGTTTTTTAAATCCACCGGTGAGATACACACGAAATACATGCAGGATCATCATTAGGACCATCATACTTGCCGACCATCGATGAACTGATCAGATTAACCAACCAAAGTTGGCTTTAGTCATTATGTATTAAACTGAAGCAAAAGCCTCAGTAACGGTCAGACGATAGTAAAAAGTCATTCACGATATCCTACAGAGGGGAATTTGGGTCGTGACACATTCAATATTAAGACCAATTTTAATAGTTACTTATCAAAGTAGCTTGAAAAATGTCTACGAAGGCACTCAAAGAATTAAGAGAAAATGTTCTAAACTAACATTGTAAGAAGATCAATTTAAGTTGGAACGAATTAAAGAAAAGAAACAACTAGAAACTACAATTTAAGATGTGTAAAACTTTTAGCTATAACTATTTTAACCAAATAATTTAAAAATTATATCAATAGTGCATAATTATTAAATATTATATATATTATTTATATATTTTGGGGCCCTAAGTATTTTAGGGGCCTAAGGCCATTGCCTTAGAGGGTTAAAATAGCACGGTCTAGCCAGTTTTCGGACTAGTCATTCAAAAATAGCTAGCGTTTACCAAGTCAATGAAAAATAGCCACTATTTTGCTGCAACAGAGACCGATCCGGCATAATATACTGGAGTTCGGTGCATCTGTGTATGAACTTCTAGCATATTATGCTGGAACTCCAACACACGGAATGTTCCAGCATAATATACTGGAGATTCGAGCACTTGTGTATGAACTTCCAACTATTATACTGGACCGGTATACTTTGCTGGAACTCCAGTATATTATGCTGGAGTTCTAGTGTACTTATGTTGGAACTCCATCATATTATGCTGGAGTTCCAGCATACTTATCCTGGAACTCCAGTATAATATGCTGGAGTTCAAGTATACTTATGCTGGAACTCCAGCATAATATACTGGCGTATTTTCCGGGTTTTGAACAGTGTTTTTGTTCAGATTTATCTTTACATGAAAAGTGGCTAAATTTCGATTACTTTTGAAATTGGGCTATTTTTGAACGATCACTTGTAAATCTGGCTATTTTTGAATTTCTCCCCCTTAGAGGCCTTAGGCTCCACCCGGCTTTGCTAGTGTAGATACGTAAAAATCCCATTGTTTAATGAGTTTGTAAATGCTGACTATTTTTTTAATTATTAGTCCGAAAACTGATTAGCCCATGCTATTTTCACCTCATATTGAGCCATTAACTATGAGTTCGGAATATATTGGGCGGGACTCGGGAGCTTGCAGTCGAATCCGCTATAATGTAGAACTCCTCCATAAGGGGAATCACCTAAATATGATCCCATTGCAATAAGAATATGTACTGATTCAAGAAAATAGAAAATACGAACAAAGTATCAATTGCTAATAATTAGTGTAGACAAGTTACATTCGCTAATAATCAAACGCATTTCTTCATATATTTTTTTTTTCAAACTCATTTCTTCATTTGAAATCAAGAACAGTTTTTTAAAATTCACAAAATATGAGAAAATTCTTCAAGAGCAGAGACTTCCGAAATCAACATAATGTGTGATCGAAAAAAGGGCAGCCCCATGCAAAAAAAAGCATCTCGCACGCACTTACACAGGGTTCGGGGAAGGGTCAATGGTGTGACGTAGACAGCCTACTGTAAAACAATTTAGATGATTTTAAAAATAGAAATCTTTGATGTACTTCTAGAGTTCGAAATATTTAGCAAATACTTCCGATTTTGAAGCCTCTTCATGAAATAAAAGTGCAACACAAAAGACTTGATTTGGCTGATGGGAGTTTGATGTAAAAAGGAGAAGGATTGTTTACATCAAAGTTAAATTCATTAATGGTGAAGTCAATACCCGAACCTATTCTACACTTGCTTGTTTTTCTCGCTTACAAATTCCACACAGCAAGTATTTTTCGAGGTGCGTTCTTGACTCCTTCCCTTTTCCTCACTAGAAATATGAATTGTTAATTCATCCTTCTTTTCCTTTTCTTCCTCTTGAATTTAACTGCAATTTCCAATAAAATGGTTAGTTTGAGCCTAATGAGCTACCAATGCAAAGAAATAGTGTCCCAAAATTTGGGACGCAGGGAGTAATAAAATACTTGATAAAGAACACCATAACATACGGGCAAAGTCTAAACCAAAATTTAAAGACATTAAGTTCAGATCTAGTAATTGTGTGATTTTAAGAACATTTTACATGTACGTGTGTAATTCGAGTCAAAATCAATGTATTCAATTGAACTCGATGCATACATGTTCCCTTGGGTTTTTGTCGATATTGGAAAATCTTACATCAAGCTTACATTGATAGTTGAAAAAAAAAATAAAAAGTTATATATCAGGTGTGTAGATACTATTAATAGTGTACGGCCTTTTAGGACAGTCCGAGCTTGTTAAGAGTGTCTTTAAGCCGGGCTTATCCCATCAGTTTATTTACAACATTTTAGAGTTGTTTTTTTAACCACATCTAGAAAATCTTTTTGTGAACACTTAACAAAAAAAAGAAAAGCTTTGTTTTGCACAAATTTGGCCAAATAAATTGTCCAAACTCGTATATGATGCATCTTAACTGATAACATAGTCTTACCTCAGATTAGCATTATGCGCTTTCGCATACTATAGAAGCTTTGATCCTTTCAACAGTGCACTTGATGAGACTATTAACAGTTGCAACTGATCCAAGCGATAGTTTCGCAGTTGGGACTGAATCAACTAGTATCTGAAATGCAACAGTGAGTAACGAACCACCCGCAGCATTAGTCTCAGGATTAATTCCAACTCCATGAGTTGTAGTAGAACCATCAGGGAGTATTGCAAAACCAGAAGGCAAAAGAGCCACATAATCAGGATCACCACCACTTAACACCACATTCATTGCTGCTATATCAACCGGCGCGTAAATAACGTACGAGCCGGTTGAATCAGTGCAACTCTCCTGGAGTATCAGCATATTATTCTGGCTTGAGTTTCCACTCTACAAAAAGAAATCAAAATTAACGATTTCATTAGCATTTCTTGTTTATGGTTTGCATATATTCTGAAATTTTTGATAGTCATCTCGTTAATAAAAGAAAAGTGTAACTAATTGGATCCCGCTGCCCGACAAGAAATTTCTGAGAAATCCCACATAGTGGGGTCTGGGAAGGGTAGGTGTACACAGACTTTATCCCTACCTTGTGGGGACAGAGAGGCATATATATATATATATAGAAAGAGAGGGTACTTACATTAACACGCAGTAGAGATACGCTGTTGCCAGAATCACGACCATTTGCAATATGTGCCATTTCTTGAACTAGGCCACCATTTGAAAGAATATCCCACTGCACACATTTTAGGAATCGTAGTAGCTCAGTTGGTTAGTTACCAGAATTTTCACATCGTTGGTGAGGGTTCGCTTCCTCACCGTATGATTCCCTCCCCTTTTCCCTTCGCCTACCCCTATATATAATAAAAAAATGAAAATGAAGTGTATGTATGCAAATAAATTTCTTCATCAATATTTACCTCATTTCTTGAATTCTCATTGCGAAGAAAGTCAAAAACTCTCTTAGTAGGAACTGGCAACCAAAATGAAGTAGCTGCACTCAGTACAATACCAGGAGGTCTTCCTGGATCATCTATACTCTTCCTTGTCATCACTCTCACATCATCAGCACCACTTCCAGATAATGTTGTCCATGTGTGAGCCGTTGATGCACCAACGCCCGCGCAAAAGCTCATCACCATTCTCTCAGCAAGTTTTAACATACTTTTTCTACCTTCTGGACTTGTAATAACTGCAGATAATTAAAGAAGAGAAATTATGATTTCAAGAAAATTTAATCTCAAACTACTCCCTCAGTCCAATTTTATATAGGAATTAGTTACACAAATAGCCGGCCAGAATTAATTTTTACTTTTTCTAGCCGGTATACATAGATTATACATCGATTATACAATTTGTAGTAGTGCCACATAAAGTAGAACAACAGGAGTATAACAATTTTCTCACAAAAAGATGAAAAACTTAAAAGACTTGTAATTATGCGTACCATCTCCAGTTGGGATGTTATTGGCCATTACACTTGCAAGTCGTTCACATTGTCTATCTAATGTTGCTACCCATCTTTTAGCACCAAATGCCAGGCCTGAATTCACGAGAGGTCTATAAATACTATTGACAGCTCTATCGTCCACCTCAACATGTTCGATCCACGTTACCTGTTATAACCGATTAAATTAGATTTAAATATATTGTAGTACAATGTATGGTGTGAGTATAAAATTTTAGGAGTGGAGTTACCTTGGAGTAACCATTTGGTAATTCTTGAATTAGACAACCAGATGGCCTTCTTCTACAACGTGACACTATTGAAGTAGGGCGCAAATTGTCTAAGGAAACATCAACCACTGCCCAAGTCCCATCAGCATGTTGTTTACAATATCTTACGAAATAGTTTTCACGAGTTGGTACAAGGGGTGAGGGGACTTGGAACTCAGCTGTCATCTAAAAGTGAAAAGTAACATGCATTAGAAAGTACTGCAAGTCGATTCAGACACCACGATTATTAAAAAAAAAAATACTCCGGGCCATGATACTCTAATATAGAATAAGAATTTCTCATCTTAGGAATTTCAAATTTAGGTCATGACACTGTAATTAGTTCTACCTGTACACATTGGGTGAGTTAGATAGGATATATAAATTAACGGGTCATTTTGAGAGTAGCCTATTTAAAAGGGTGGGCAAAATCGAGTTGCACATGTAGATCAAATTGACTCATAAAAGAACTCATCAAAATATAGAAAAATTAATTTTTTGAGTTTAAAATAAATAAAAGAAAAGGTATTTAATAGTTTGACTTTGTAATTAAGTAAATTACTCCTATAAAAGAACAAATAAATAAATAAATAACATTGATCGCGGATTGAATTATGACCGATTGCTTAGCTTAAATTAACATCACACCTTGAATTAACCAAATACTTGACGGGTTATTATCCAACTCCGTTTATTATTTTGATCCGATCAAATATTATCCAACCAACTCATATGACACATCATCTAAATCCCTAATAACAAATA